TTTAGGTAAAAACTCAGGCGTTATTAAATAAAAAAACTCCTTTTTAATATTTCATTAAAAAATAACCTTCATTCAACATTTTTTTTAGAAAAATAACTCCTAATCAGTTTTTAAAAAAATATCACCCAAATCTTGCATCCCACAAAAATTGATTAAGACCTCACATTTTATAAAAAAAAAATGAGTTTCATATATTTATTATGTCATTTATCTAAAAATTAAATAGATTTATCTAAAATGTCGAAGGATTTCGCACACAATAAAACGCGAGATCCTTAAAACAGGTTTTGTAAGACGTTAGAAAATCATACGTGTGTAAATTTAATGTATTTTTTCAATTAATACTGTTTGATCATTATTTTTTTGGATAAATGAAATTTTGAGGATTTTTTAATAAAAACGCCAAAAATTCATGTATTAATTTGGGACCGTTGAACAATAATTTTTTTTTCGGGGAGTGTCGGAATGAGTTAAGGTCGGAAAATCATGAGTGCGTGCTTGTTTCGGGGGATTAAAAAGAAAAGGCTGCAAAGCAGTTTGCCTACTTATGCTAAGATTGTGAAGGGGTCACGCTGTAGATGGACTTTAGGTATTTCACGAATAGCTTCCTAAATTATAGCGTATTTCACGAATAGCTTCCTAAATTATTATTTTTTGAATAATTTCAGTGTCTAACGTTAACACTTTAGGTATTTAGGCTATCAACAACATTAATTTCCTCCGTTAAGTGACACATATCACTTAATAAAAAAAATTAACATCGTTGACAATCCGAACATCTAAAACGATAACATTTATAATATTACGAACTAGAATGATTCAAAAAATAATTTAGATACCTATTAGTGAAAAAGATTATTGTTTGGACAATTATTTTATATTTAAGCCAAATAAAAATGTTCCTAAAATCATGAGGTGGCGTTTGGTTCGCTGAAATGTTTATGAGGAAATTGGAATCTGTAAAGGAATTGGAATATGTCAAGAATTTGAATCCAATTTCATATTCTGTTTGGTTGGCAGTAAATGGAATTGGAATCCAATTGCATATTTTGTTTGGTTCGCAGACATATCAGATGAATTTAATTTCAGTAATATAAAATGACTGAATTGCCCTTCTTATTTTTTTTTACTTTATTTTAGTTTGTTTTACAACTTACATATAGTAATATATTATAAAAAAATAAAAATATTAAATTTTCATTTTATTGATTGATTATTCATTTCAATAAATTATAAAAATCATGCTAATAAATATCATAAGTTAAAATCATCGCAATCAAAATATGTTAATAAGTTACCAAAAGATAGAGCAATATTTCGATACATTCCAATCGGAGTATGTTAATTAGTTATCAAAAAATATACCAAAAACTATTTTTATTCAATATATGAATTAGAAACTCGACCGACACGACACAAAATAATAAAAAAATTATTTTTATTCAATAAAAACATTGACTTAATTGAAAAAAATTATATATAGAGTGATATTATTGTAATTATTCCTAAATATATAAGGTAAAATTATATATTTTTTGGGTCGGTCTGATTTTTTCACCCTAAACACGACCCGACCCGACCCGAATATCACACTTAAAAAACCCCGACACGACTCGACCCGAATATCGCACTTAAAAAACCCGACCCGAACAAAATAAAGTTTCACCTGACCCGACCTGAATATATGAATTAGAAATCCGACCCGACCCGAAATAGTAAAAAATTATTTTTATTCAATAAAAATAGTGACTTAATTGAAAAAAATATATATAGAGAGGGTATTATTGTAATTATTCCTAAATATATAAGGTAAAATTATATATATTTTTGGGTTAGATAGTTTTCACCCTAAACCAGAATTCGACCCGACCCAAAGATCACACTTAAAAAAACCGACCCGACCCGACCAAAATAAAGTTTCACCCGACCCGAATATATGAATTAGAAACTCGACCCAACTTGAAATAATAAAAAAAATTTTATTCAATATATGAATAAGTTACCAAAAGATTAATGAGGGTAGTATGATCAAATTTCAATTCTCTCCAACAAGATAATTGAATTTCATCCATTCTTGGATGGAATTCACTTTCCCTCGTTTGATGGAAAGTTGAAGCCATGAGGAATTCCAATTCTCTTAAAAAACTTAAACAAAACATGAAAAAATAATAAAAATAGATTTCAATTCCCGTCAATTCCAAGATTTATCCAACCAAACGCCGCATCTTTTTTAAGTTAAAACCCTGGTCATAAAACCCCGAATTCAAACATAGATCGAGAAAACTCAAATCACCAACACAGTCCAACAGTAGAAATAAAGATGGCTAGCTTCATTCGAACAGCTCAAAGAACATTCATCTCTGCAGCTTCGAAAACCCTAACTAACGACAGCCCATCACCAGCTTCACTACTCCAATTCAAAACCTATGCAACCTGCAAAACCCACGAATCGCCTTTCACAGCCAACATCATCAGAATCCTAAGCAACGAGATCGAGTACCAGCACGACTACGCCCCCCCATCAGGTAACTAATTGTTCCTATCAAAACTTTTGCACCCAGATTTTAATTTGATTTCTTTCTTCTCAATTTATTTAGCCTGCTACGACTTTCAATTCATTCACGGTCCAAGACCGACCGGGAGAGAAGTGGATGACAATGAGGGCAAGATATGGAGACAATGAAGATATCAAAATAGAAACAACTATGTTTGACGGTTGTGCTTTTGTTCCTAAGCCCGGAGAAGATAGCACCGGGGAAAATATGGTTCTTCACATTAGCTTGTTTGTTGATATCTCCAAAGGTCAAGGTTATCCTGAAATGGAAATTTTGCGCTCGGCATGGCTCGATCGTTTAGAAATCCATAAAGTTCATTTGCTAAATCGTGATAAGATTGTTATTAATCCGTACATGGGACCTGATTTCAGGTATAGCTTGCTAGTTCGTTTAGTACTTTTTTCTTCTTAATGTTGATTGGTAAACTAAATTGTGTTCTTTTTTCTTTAGGAAAATGAATGGGAAACTTCAGGAGACACTTCTTGATTATTTGAAAGCAAGGGGGGTAAATAACGAACTTTGTCGCTTTTTGCACGAGTATGTGATGAATAAGGATAAGATTGAACTCATACAATGGTTGAGAAATGTCAAATCCAGAATGCAGAAATAGAATGAGGTTTGTTTATGAAACTTTGATATCTCCTTCGTAGATGTTCCTATGCAAGGTTGGAAAGATTTTTATTTAGGTTCCTCTATGTTTTGTGACCAACCGTTGTGAAAAATTAAATACCAATTTATCCACCATATTGTGTGGCATTGGCTTATAAGTTTTAAATCTTTTCTATCTAAGCTGCAGAATTGTGAAGTTAATTGTAAACTCGTTGCACAGAACCTTATGAGGATTATATATATGTGAATAGACTAAATTTTAGAGTCTCGACACCTTTTCGGCGCTTGAGCAATCTTTGCAAAGTAATTATGATGCATTTCCTCATAGCATTCCTTAAGTAATATATGATATCTGCAAGAGTCACTTCTAATGTATGCAATATGCATATCAATCAAAGCATTATATTCGAAAGTAATTCGAAATTACTGAATACAGCAAACCTTCACCCTGGAGAGGCTTTTACTTGATATCTGCGAGAGTTATTTGATGGATGCAGGCATGTGAATGAGTTACCATAGCGTATTTTAGTACCATTAACTAAGGTGCTGCAATTTCCATAACTTTCACTTGGTGTTGCAAGGTTTTAATCGTACAACCTAGTATAGTGTTATTCCACATTAGGTGCCTTGGTGTAAGAAGTAATTAATTGCTCATTCTTTAGTTTTCTTAGTAGTAAACTCTTCCATTTAGATTCTAAAGAAATTACACTGATGATCAGGCCACATTGGCTCTGTGTATTCTTTTGATTCATACACAAAAGGAGAGACTGAGGTGAGTTAAATGTGTGTTTACTACAGGGAAAGGATTGATTAGTTACAGAGGCTTTGTGAATTGCGATATGGTTGACTTCACTTCGGTTAATGCATTTCTTTCAAAAAGAAACGCAGAGGGTTATTTTCTTCATTCTCATTTTTCAGAGTAAGCTGAGATCTAAGGAGAACCTGCAGGTGTGATGATCAAACTCCAACTGTCGGATTTGGATGAACCATTTGGGACTTAGTTATTCTTTCATATCAAATGGGATTCGGATGAACCATTTGGGACTTGGTTATTGTTTTCATATCAAATGGTATTCGGATGAACCATTTGGGACTAAATATTTTTTACATATCAGGTGTCTTCTGGTGCTACTTTGGGTTGAACTTGAAAATGACCCTTTGGAGCCTCTGCTATTTAATTTTGTGAAAGTTGACCCCATGTTCTACAACAAGCCACAGTTCTGAGGTTTGTCTGATTTGCTCTCGATTATCATTAAGCCTAGTTTCTACCCGACCACGAGACCAATAAAGATCATTTGTGATTTGTGGATAAATTCAAATTTCTCCGTGTTATAAAAACTGAGCCGTCAGGTTAGCTTGGTTCGACCAACACAAGATCAATCTATCCGATAAAGGAAAGAATGAAAAACATATGTTAAATGTGATTGATTTATGGCATTTTATCATCATAAAATCAAACCTTTCTTAGATTGAGGGATTAGCTAGTAAAAGTGACACAGTACACGCACCTTCACGGGCCCCAAAATCACACCTGCTCTATTAAAAACAACTAATTACAAGTCTAAATTTGATCAGATGTTCCAAATTCAATGTAATTGTAGCAGATTTCATGTAATCGTATATAAAGGGAAACTAATGGATTGTCGGAATCATTCCTCTAAGAATTCCAAAAGTTATTTTTCTGGTTCAATTTAAAACAGGTCTGGGGAAATCCTGGAAGTCGTTTTAATTGGGAGAATTCTCTCCAAAACACACATGTTACAAACTTGCCAGTTTCCAGGTATTTGAGAAACAGTTCGAAGAAACGAGGATTATGAGAAGGATAAAGAGTTCCAAGTAAAAGCCAAACTACAAAACTTCTCTATCACCCAAATATACATTGACAATTGATACCAAAGAAGTCAAGGGTAAACAAAACTCTCGACCATAAACAAATATGTATATTTATACATGTTCTTAAAAACATTACTCAATTTAGAGCTTGAGGGATAGGTCAACCGTTTGTATCTCTTCCTGCTTTGTCTCGAGACTACCTCCACCTGACCACCAACAATTGCTAATCACTTCATCACCTGGAGAACCCATCATCGTCCTCATTACGTTGAACCTACCGAGATTAGCTCGACTCGTTGATCCTGTTGTGATTGCAAGGGAATTCTCCGTCGACAACTTCCCTATTGCTGGTTGTTGGTCTATAGGAGGCCTAGTCCAACTCTGGTGTCCGTACACATTTCCAGACCCTGCTGATGGAGAAATATGAGAAGGTTTATGAATCATTGAATGCACCTGAATTCCCAAAGATCTATTATATGTGCCGCCTAGGGGAAGAGAAGCCAAGCTAGGATAGTGGTTGTGGTGAAAATAAGGATGCCCAAAAGCCGCGGCTGAGGCTGCTATATGAGCACCCATCCTTTGCCCTCTTTTCACTGAAGTCCTCTCTCTTTTATGAGCGTTTTGGTGCCCCCCAAGAGCTTGTGAACTGTAGAATTTCCTTTGGCAATAGGTGCAGGAGAAAACTCGTTGCTCACCATTCGTTGGCTGGGATGTTTCTGCTACTGTACTGTCAGTTGAACCTACTGCGTTCAATGAATCGATTAGATTGAGTTCTTTATTGAGCCCACGATCACCACAATCACTTGTAGTTAGCTTTAGATCTAACTGGAGACAGGGTTTCGCCTCTTGTTCTCGATCTTTGATCACTTCATTTGAACCTGGAGAGGCCTCTATGCATGGGGTAGTACTCTCAGAAAGACTATGTCCTTTCCCAAGAGATTCCATAGGAGTCTTTGGCACACACTCAGCTATGTAGGGTAGACGATGAAATATGTTTTGTTGATAGCATAAAATATAAAAAAATCTTCCTTTTTGTTGGAGGAAACCAAATGCTTTTTGTGTGCAAATAATGCTATATAAACCTACAGTGTTTTTTTCTTTTTTGAAAGAAAGAAAGAAACAATGGTAGGTTTCTTTGCTTTTGTCACTCACATGAAAAGCTAGCTTCAATTGGAACTCCACAATATCAGTTGTTTATATCCTCAGAAACAATTGAGTTCCCTTCTTTCATATCAGCACTACATTATTCCCTTTTTGACTACTTTCTATTGGTAATCAGTGATAATGATTGCTACACCCGAGGGATACACTTTTTTCAGGTTCATGCTCGGCTCCCTTTATCAAACTGGTAGAGGTATTTGCGACCGTATCATATCTATTATAATTACCACAAATATGATATTCCTGCTAATATATATATAAGTTCAGTTCAAAAGTGGCCCTTCATGGTAGGGATGAACAAAACTCGACTTGACTCAAAAAATCGATTTTTTCGACTCGACTCGATTCGAAAAAACTCGACTCGAAATGACTTTGAGTTGTAATTTCATAAACTCGATTCGACTCGACTCGAAAAACTTTCAAGTTCAAATCGAGTTGTAAAGTACAACTTGGATAACTTAAAATTTTGTAATTAGTGGATGAATTTTTAAGTTTGAGTCGAGTACCTCAATTTTGTATGATATATGTATATCACATATGAAAAAAATATACATGTATTGTATTTTTTTATCAAAAATCAAACAGGAATGCATTGTTATACCTATATATATATTGTACATGATCATAAAAATCATTTAAATTGTAATCAAATAATATCATAATATTATAAATATTGATAATTAATTTGAACACAAACTCGAAAATTCGATTCGATTCAAAAAAATTTCAAGTCAACTCCAAGTTGTAAAATAGGACTATTCAACTCGAATAACTCGAAATTTTTTGACACGACTTGACTTAATCGAACGCTCGCCCCTACTTCATGAGATAATATGACCTTAATGTATTGAAGACAGATGGACGTGTGATTTTAGGTTAAAAGATGAATTTATAAATTTTCAGATATGAAACAAGATTATTAATGAAAAAATATAAATTATATGAAAATTTAAAATTTGAATGACTGCCCCACCAATACACCTCGGACCATCCATGCATAGTAGTCGAAGTCTATCAAGCAGAGGCACCATGTCCCCAGCCAGTTACTTTGAACGTGCACCTCTACGCATTTCTTGGATGTTTTGCCCAACTCTTTCCATGCTCTGATGCCATGATTATCGAATAAAAGTCACGAACATTAAGGTGGTGTTTGGTTGGATGGAATCCCTTAGAATTGGGAGAATTGGAATCTAATTCTACCACTTTCCTATGTTTGGTTCAAGTTTTCCAAGGGAATTGGAATCCCTCATGGCTTCAATTTTCCATCAAATGAGGGAAAGTGAATTCCATTCAAGAATTGATAGAACTCAATTCCCTTGTTGGAGGGAATTGAAATTTGACCATACTACCCTCATCAATATTTTGGTAACTTATTCACATATATTGAATATAAAAATATTTTTTATTATTTTGGGTCAGGTCGGGTGAAACTTTATTTTGGTCGGGTCGGTCGGTTTTTTTAAGTGTGATATTCGGGTTGGGTCGAGTTCGGGTTTAGGGTAAAAAATACCCGACCCGAAAATATATATCATTTTACCTTATATATTTAGGAATAATTACAATAATACCCCTCTCTATATTTTTTTCAATTAAGTCACTGCTTTTATTGAATAAAAATATTTTTTTATTATTTCGGGTCGGGTCGTATTTCTAATTCATATATTCAGGTCGGGTCGGGTGAAACTTTATTTTGTTCGGGTCGGGTTTTTTAAGTGTGATATTCAGGTCGAGTCGGGTCGGGTTTTTTTAAGTGTGATATTCGGGTTCGGGTTTAGGGTGAAAAAAACAGGACCGACCCGAAAAAAATATATAATTTTACCTTATATATTTAGGAATAATTACAATAATACCCCTCTATATATAATTTTTTTTCAATTAAGTCAATGTTTTTATTGATAATGTTTTTATTATTTTGTATCGTGTCGGGTCGAGTTTCTAATTCATATATTGAATAAAAATAGTTTTTGGTATATTTTTTTGTAACTAATTAACATACTCCGATTGGAATGTATCGAAATATTACTCTATCTTTTGGTAACTTATTAACATATTTTAATTGCGATAATTTTAACTTATGATGTTTATTAGCATGATTTTTATAATTTATTGAAATGAATAATTAATCAATAAAATGAAAATTTAATATATTTTTTAATTTTTTTATAATATATTACTACATGTAAGTTGTAAAACAAACTAAAATAAAACAAAAAACAAGAAGAGCAATTATGTTATTTTACATTACTAAAATCAAATTCATCTGACATGTCTGGGAACCAAACAGAATATGGAATTGGATTCCAAATCCATTTCCTGCCAACCAAACAAAATATGGAATTGGATTCCAATTCTTGACAGATTCCAATTCCTTCACAGATTCCAATTCCCTCATAAACATTCGAGCGAACCAAACGCCATTTGATTGAACGCTAATTGAGGCATTGGTGGGAAGAGTGATTGGGATCCCCATTAATAATGGGCTCGGTTTAAGGACATAACTTAGATTATCTAAGGTTTTGAATCGTAAAAGAAAAAAAGGTATGTTTTAAGTTGTCTAATTACGGTTTAATGTGTGATTGTAAAAGTTAAGCTGTCGTATTTGGACAAAATGGCCGACAAAGAAGGGGGGGCTGCTGTGGGTAGCCCTCATGCCATAGGAAATATGATAGTGCCATCTTATTTTGTTTATATAATTATTGGTTCAGCATGAACAAACCCCCAAAGGATTAATTATGTCTTGTGATAAGCATAACTTTAATAAGCTTTTATATATACAATTATTATTACAAGCAAGTGTTATTTTAAGCAACTAAATGTCATCCAACCTTAACCCCACAAACAACCCACATGATTTTATAGGCAACTAATTGCCTAATAAATAAATTCGACCGTATCTCTTTTTTGAGATTTCTTTGTTTGGCTTTCCAAATATGCAATTTAAAAAACATCACTTCCACATCGAATATATAATGTGTCGGAATCGCCTTTCGGTTGGGTTTAGAATTGGGCTTCGACTTGAATAAATTGGGTTAGGAGTCGCTACCGATCATTTATTTTATTAAAAATGGGTTGATCGGATACCTTTATTTCTTACCTGATATGCGTCTTACCAGTGATGTGTCGGATTCGGGAGTCGATTACAGTCAAGGAAGGGTTAGCACCCTTGAACTGCCCTTTCGGTACTATATAATTTCCAGTTGTCTCTATTAAGAAAGTTATAAATTTAAATCAAAAGGTAAAATAACAATTCAAATTACTTACCTTTAACCGTTTTGAAAATGTACCCTTAAAGAATCAAGAAAAACGTTAAAAAAACAAAGGTGACGAGGATAAATTGGAAAGGAAGAGAAAATAAATAACAAACAACATATAAAAATAAAACAGAAACAAAAAGCAAACAACATGATTAACATGGAGATAATGAAATGAGAAAACAAGGACAAAATAAAACAAGATAAATAAAGAAACAAAGGTAAATAAATAACATACAAAAAATAAATTAAATAAAAATAAATAAAAGTAAAAGTAAAATAAACAAAACGAGGGAAAAAGGATAATATATATATATATATATATATATAATATTAGCTTGTAGACTAAAGAAAAAATATAAAGATAATAAGAAAAATAAAATACATATACATATACATATATATAGGATATAACATATAAATGAATAAATACATACTAATAACACATGTATGTAAAAAATAATAATAATAATACTATAAAAATATATATAAATATTATAATGTATAAATAGAAAATTAAAAAACAGGGACTAGATTGAAAGAAAACCACGATTGAAGGTCGAATTCAAAAGGAAATTGAGTTTAAAAAATTGGATTTTGGGGGTAAAATGGAAGTTTTCAAAACAGAAGTGGCCAAAAGGGTAGTTTACCCTATTTCCTTGAAAACACGCGGGTCCTTCCCAGGTCTGGGTCGACGCGCGGGTCACCATACGATCCATGGGCCAAGTATAAAGCTCAAATTTTTTCAAAAATGCTCATTTCTCATCTCTTCACACGAGAGCCCCCTTCTTTGATTTCTCTCATCTGTTCATCCAAGGATGAACAAGGGCTGAGTTTTCCAGAAACCGGCCACCGTACCGCCTCGTCGACTGCCATTCATCGACAGCGAAATTTTTTTTTAAAACCGAACGCTTTTCACCCATCTTTTTAAAAATCAAAACTTTATTTTAAAAAACGTACGCCTCGGGGCTAGATCTGGGTTCGAAATCTCGAAACCCTTCCCCTTTGATCATCGGCGTAACCTACTCTTGGACTATTTGAGGTCACACGAAGGCAAAGCAAGAGAGGAAAGAAACGACATGCAAGATAAAAACAAAAAAATATTCATCTTTTATTTCTCTTCGAATCTAGTTACAAAGTAAAACTTTGAAACTATTGTATCTCTCTCGATCTCTCGTAGTATATTGCGTGTATTTGTGTGTAATATGCTATCGTAATCGTGTGTGTTCTTGTGTGTCAAATACATGGGTATTTATAAGTACCAAAGAAACCTATTCCTAGAGTTTGATTCCGAGTAAAACTCGGTTATTTGATGCTCCACGATTCTGACTTCTTGTTTGGTTGGTTGTGAATGAGTCATTTTGACTCACGTTTGTTGAAGACCGAAAGAACTGGCGGGGAACCCGGCTTTTGCAGCAGCAGCGTGTAGCGATGGGTCTTCAAAGGGAGAGAACAGAGCTGGGGAGGGATCTGCTAGGGTTCTGGAAACCCTAGCCTGAACCGATTCACTGGGCCATCTGGGCTGCTGGAGTTGTATAGTGATTTTGGGCCATGTGTTTGGGCCTGCAAATTTAAATAAATGTAAATGTTAAAACAATAATAATTTATATATATATGTAATAAATATATGTCATGTTAGAAAAAGTGTGTCTACAGCTGCCCCTCTTTGCCCATAGTCGTGCAACGGGGACAGGG